ACTATGATCGTTCCAAATAGAGCAGATAGTGGAACTATTAAGGCAATGGCAATTAGACCCACAGCTGGAACTTGTAACGTTGTTTTAGCAAATAACAATGCCACCGAAGATATTGTGGTATATCCTACATAGTAATCAATTCGTAAATAATCATGGAGATCTCTCATATTAACAGATTTTAGCATATCAAAGTTTACCATCAGATATAAAAAACCAAGCGATCAAGAATTTAAAAGTCATTTCCAACTTTTTTGCTTGTATGATGGTCTTCCACAATTGTTTCCATGCGTATACAACATAATCGAACCATCTTATTTTTCTTCCATCACCCAAAAATAAGGGAGGACCAGGCCTAGGTTGCAGCCATTTAGCAACAAGTAAAGAAAATAAAAACCACCATGTTCCGGATAAAAACACACCAATTTGAAGGCTAAAAACGGAGGAATGTAGAATAAAAGCGATAATAAAACAAATGCCTAAAAGAATTATGCCACCAAAGTAACCAGACGCAAAACCACGCGCAGATATATGAGTTGAAATCTTTTCTTTCGTTGTTGCCAGTTCATTCAAAAGATTATACAAAGTATCATCGGAATTATTGTCAAGATTTAGAAGTCTGGTAGTTGATTGATCACTGATATTATCATCATCCAAATAAAAAGGCTGTTGATCATTTGAAAGCTTTGATTTGTCAGCTATATGTAATTTTACTTTGTCAGAAATTTTTCTTACATCTTGATGATTTCTCGTCAAAACTGGTAAAAAACCATTAAAACAAACAAAGGAGGCACCAAAGCAGACATTCCCTATAATAGCAATTATTGCGACAAGTAAGAACATGGGAGGAGTGACCAGTAAAAATAACATTGCAGATACACTTCCAACCAAAGCAAAGCTTATTAATAAAGTTTTGCGCATTGCACCGTGATCAGCCGTTGCACCGATAGATATTGCAGTGATAGCTTGTAGAATTACACTAAATGAAAAAGTGTATAAGCTAAACGAGGCTGTATCAACCCATAACCCAAAAATGTTGACTACACAGCGTACTTCTTCAAAAGTCCTAAGTTCAGTGGAGTTTTTGCACGCGATTTCATGATTAATGTTGAGAACACCTTGTTCGGAAGCGAATTGTTCCAGGATCAATGGTATGAAGCTTGATAATGATACAACTGAATACACTTCGCAAGCAAATGCATAAAGGTACCTAAATAAACATATTATAGTTAACAATATATATTCGTGAAGTGAGCGTAACAGACAGAAAAAGGCTGGTATTCTAACTTTTTTTGTTTTTTTTTTTTGATGTGAATCTCTAAGTTCTAGCCATTTCTTAATAACTTTTTATAACACCTCAATTTAAATGGAACAGCCTGTGTGCCTTAATAAACTATCAGGAACTCTAATAAAGTACCTGCCTTTCTCTATCTACATAATAATTTTTTTTTTACCATGCGTATAGTTCTTTTTTGGTCAAAATAGGTTCAATATTTTGTTGCTCTATTTTAATGTTGTTTGCAAAGATCGTTCCCTGAGAATTAACTGTTTCTGGTACACTAGACGACTCATTTTCATCCTCTAATTCCAATTCTATATCCGTCATGTTCGTGACAAAGAGAAAAATGCGTGTAATCTGCGCATTCACCTAATTTCCCAAATTTAATTGGACAAGGTAAACTAGCTGCTGATTTGACAAATTTGACAACACTTTTCACATGATTGACTAATTTAAAATCTCAAGCCGAAAAAATTATACAGAATTTAGTATAAAATCGCATAAGGAAAACTTTTGTACAAATTTTTGATATCCATAGTGAACGTTTTCGTTGGAGAATGCTACTGACTAAGGATGTTAAAAAGTTCATTCGGTTTTTATTATATAAACTGAACTAGTTCTAGTAGTTTGATATATTAAATTTATATTTGATAGTTAAACAGTTTTATTTCTCAGTTTACTATACAATGCAGAACGTTATAATACAAAATTTATTATTCAGCATAAAAAACATTGTGATCTAAAATTATACCATGTTTTTAGTTAGAGATTGCACGCATTTTTTCACCCTAAAACTATTATCCGGTCAAAATCCGAGTTGTGATTTTTGACAGGATTAAAAAACTCTATTATAGGTCATATATTATTTATGACGATAGATTCGAATTATTATAGTCTTGTGAAGTCCTCGGTTTTATATGATTCGCAGAAAAACAGGTCATCGACCTAGATTAGGTTCGCATATGTATAGAATATAAAAGTTACCGCTATTAGTTGATTCGACTTATTTAACTCAGGTTCGAAGCAGAAAATAATCCGAAAGGCTCTAGTACAAAAAAAATGATTCGCATTACTAAAATTATAAAAAAAAATCTGATTCACAAGAATATTTTGATAAATTTTTTATGGCGGGGACCTATGATAGAATTTTCTTTTACGCTTTTGCATTTCTATGCTATGCAATAATCTTTTATCATAACATATTCTTGTAAGTGAAGAATTATCCAAGCCAAAATTACAACAAATCAAACAGTAAATACATAGACACGCCTTTGTTTTTATTTCCATGCTAACTTTATCTTAACACATTCTTATAGATAAAGAATTATTAAAACCAAAATTAAAACAAATCAAATTTTATAGTGAAATAGTTAAAAATCCTTGTATAGTTTTTACGTTAATCGAAGAGACACTGTGGAAGGTCGACATCAGATATATATAGTATAAATCACTTATTCTTGAATATTATGAGTTGGCCACTATTATATGTTATGAATTGGCCGTTTTTCATGAATGTTATGGAATTAAACCTTTTTTAAATATATGAATTAAAAGATTCTTAAAATATTGTAGGTTGGATATTTCGCTTAGTGCCCGTTTAAATACACTATACCGTATTGTCGCAAAATAACGCCCACCTGTACGTTATTTTGAATATATGCGCGTTATTTAGAGTACGCACATGGGCGTTATTTTGAGACGAAGATAATTTTCCCGAAATTGGGGTTTCAAATTATTATATGCCTGGGTTGACACTTTATTAAAGTTGTAGGTAAGCCCAATTTTGAGTTTCGCCATAGTTTCAACACGAGTTTCTTATTGACTATTATATGTATTTTCACCAGTTTCACCAGCATTTAACAAATTTTCACCAGTTTCACCTGCAACTTTACACTTATACGGGTGCGCGCTATTTCAGTTATCAACTTAATTAGTTTTAATAAACAAAATAGTTTTTGCGCAAAAATATTTTAATTATAGTAATTGCGAAAATTACAATATACTATAAAATTCGTAATTAATATAAAAAAATTTAATTAACGTAATTGTTAGAATAATAAATCTTTGAATTCGAATATATCAAACTTAT